GGCGACGGCGAGCCAGCCTCCCCTGACTTTCGGAACAGCGCTGAGGGCAGTGCAGCGTGGTGGCCAGAGATCGACCGTGAGCCAGCCTGAGCCAGGGCGTGACACCCGCAAGCAGGCCTCCCAAAGCCTACCAGCACACTACTTCACCCCAAAAACTCTTTCCTTTTGAAACCCTCAAGCTATTTCAGAGATAGAACAAGTCCTTAAACACCACCAGGAAAGACAAGAAGGCCACCGCTTTCCACTGGAGGTGCACATCCTACGGCCTTCAGCCGTACAAGAAGAACACACTGCAATTATTATGGTTTCTCAGGTCAAAACCACACTTTTGCAGTCCAGATCTGCAAAGTTTATACACGAGCAATTTCAACCAGCTTGTAACTGAGCTCAGCAGAAGTCCTTACGCGCTTGGCATTACCCATGTGGGTAGATGTCCTGCAGAGAAAAGCAGGGTGCTTCCAGGAATCCCACCGGCCGGGGCCAGTGCGTAAGACAGTACCATCTTACGGACAGAGAAAATTAACTGAAGTTCCATGTTACATTACATTAAACTCTGACCTGAGGAAAAGACCATGGTCTTTGCGTGTATACATGCAAAATACTGTGGCCTGATTTTCCAAAGTTCAGGGTAGCTGTAATTCGTATGGAAGTCCATGAAACTCAGTACCTCTGGAAAAATAAGGCCCTAACAGCTCTGAAGCAGTTATTAATTCTCTATCTGTACCTAAACTACATGTATAACCATAATAAAACTATTATTTAAGATAAACTATGAATGCTGAGAACCTAAGTTTTGTTTTGTGCCACTTCTCATGCATCTCTGTATAGCACTTATGTTTCCACTATACTTTAAAAGCAAATATAAATTCATAAACTCAAAGCGTGTTAATTAAAATGTGAAGAAACTGATAAAGTCAGGGACTTGCCAAATGAGTGGCGTATCAGACTTGATCTTTGTCCAAGGCCTGTCCAGTTTAGCTCAAGTGGTAGGTTATAATGTGCATTGATTACAGGCTCTGGATTATACCGAACCACTAAAGAGCAAGCAAAAGCTTGTTGCTAGAGGATTATAGCAGACATTCTGGCCATTAACAGTGAATTTCCATACGACTATTAATCTCTGTCACAACACTGAGGTTATGTTAATTTTTTATTTGTCTTTCAAGGAATTATGAACATGGTCCATTACATTTCCCAAAGCTGCAGGAACAACTTGTCTTTAGGAGAGAGTTATAGTTCATGGCTGACTCAAGTCACCCGAGCTATAAAAAGAAAAATGAATGTTCAGACTTTGCCAAACAGCCAAAGCATGGCCCTGAGGAGAGGTGAAGCTCAAACTGGAAGCAATAGGTACTTTCTGGATGGCACCTTCTTGTTCATAGAAAGTCGCCTGGGTACCCAGATAAGTCAGAATTGCTGAATGCCCCCTGCACCTCAGATTAAAGTGCAGTGGCATACAAACTGGCATGGTCACTCCCCAGTCAAAGATCCAAGTAATGCTAATAGGACAAAATGTGAGGGGAAAATAGAGGGCCCCTTCTTTCTCCTGCCCCCTAGTAATCATGTTTGTAGTGAGAATCACAGACACCATGGCAGCACAGATGGGAGGTTGTTTAGGACTTGCAGGTCTTGCAGGACGTGCTATTCCTCCCATCGCTCACTCACACAGGGCAGGAGGAAAAGTGCCCCCCAGGTTACCATGTATCCCTCTTACTAGAAGGTATATCCATTTCTGCAATGACAGAGTGCTTATCTAGCAGCTGGAAGAGGATCTAACGCAAGCATTTCATGGCTGCTAGCGAGTGATGGCGTCACTGTGGGACAAAATGTTCCTTGTGGGAAAAAATGCTTGAATATCACAAATTACCTCTGTTGCGACAGTCCGATGTCAGTGCTTGAATCACACTATATACTTGCAAATAGCACAGGGATGGCCTGGCACATTACATTAATTAATAATAATTAAAAATAGAAAACCTTTCTAGAATTTACTTCTGCTTCTAGCATTCCATGACTAGGTCTTAGGTCCAGAATATTTAATTAGAAAACCGGAGTTTAACTGAAATTAGGTCACCACAATCATCAATTCCATCAGTTTTGGGTCACCGTGAATAACACTGTGTGAGAAAACTATGAAGAGAAGCTGTCATCCACAGTAGATGTTTGCCATTTCTCCTCTTCCTTCATTATAATAAGCATATCTAAAGACTATTTACAGTCCTGTTAAACTAAAAACTGCAAAAAATTTGACAGAATTGTATCACTCTGTAAGCCTAACCTAGAAGTCAAACCATTATATTGTCAATATATCCCAACTGCTAAAACATGCTGTGGATACATACCTGTCCCATCATGGTCTCCTTATATTGTTTTTTCTGTGTTACTTTGATTGGAGGCAATTTTGTCACAGCTGACACCAAAAAATTCATTAGAATGTCCTCACAATTGGCCAGTTGGTCCACCATATTCTTTAGGCTGGCAGGCAGGTAATGAGTGTACAGGTAGTGATAATATCTGGAAACCAATAGCAGTATTATTAATACAAGTCACTGGGCCTTCAGGGATTACAAACTCCGGGAAATTTCTATCTCAGTTGAGACACAAGTTTTACACTCAACTCTGGATATACCACTTCCTTTATTTGGTCTCATCCTCCAACAAGAAGGGAGAACAAATCAGTATCTCATCAAGACAGTGAATAGTGCTAATGGAGAAACAAAACACATGCCTTTTTTGTAACTGGGTTGAAAGAAATAATGCAGACCTAAGTATCAAGATAACGGAGAAGTAGGAAAGAGAGCACCACACTGCTATAATGTGATAGACAACACTGACGAATTCATCTTCCACCTCTTCTTTCAAAACTGTTCAGTTGGAGAGAACTCTATTAAACTGGCCTACTACTGTCCTTATTGTTCAAATTATTCTCCTTTGGGCCTGTATCATCCCCTATGACCTGCCTTCTCCTTTGCAGGGATGTGGATTAGATACTCCAGAATTTGCTGACTTTCTCCTAAAATCTAGAGAGGTCTTTGGTCTGCTGAAGTCCTAACAACAAGGGCTGTCTCCAGCTTGCTGCAATACGCTGATCTGCAACGTGTCCACTGTTCTACATTTCTAGAGTAGCCAGAAGACTTTGCAGTCTGCAGCTATAAGCCAACACATACCCAGAGTTGGTCTGGAAGTACCCTCCTTTCTGCTATGCTACAGGCCATTCAGCCGAGCGGCTTAATGAATTCGGGAACTCTTTGAAGTGTGTAATTCCTCATGTTAAAAAGAGCAGTCCGACTGCCTCAAAATACAAGTGACTTCAAAGAAACCCAACAAGCGCAATAATGATTACCAGATCCCCAGAGCTAAACCAAGAACTTAAATTATTACCCCATAAAAAGTAGACCCATTTATTATCTTTCCATTTTTTCCCCTCCCCGGAAGAATGTTCTTCACCTCCGCCCCCTGCCAGCCTTTATTATTTTGTTTCGTACAGAAAGAGGACAGCAGATGCTTTGGGTTCTTACTTGTGGTAAATAGCAGCTCCTGTCAATACCATGGAATAGTCATTAGTCCATTTGGAGGTATACCCCCACCTCTCCTTAGTGTTGTCCCAGAAGTGACTGCGAGCAGGGTACCCTACAATCCTCTCTGGAAAACTCTGCCAAACTGTAAAGGCAAAATCCACCTGCGGACAAAGGCACAGGCCAAATGAATACCGAAATTGTTTCAACAAATGTCAACAAAACAAAATATTACCTTGCCACTAATTCGTAATTCAAAATCTTGGAACTGTTGCAAAACATTAATTCTATGTATTCATCAGTAAATTAAACTGACTGCTTGACATTTTGCCCTATAATTATGCACATTTTAATGGTTCCTGTTAAAGGGAGTCTAGAGTATCACAGCATTACATTAACATTTTCAAGCTTGCCCTTTACATATCAAACCTTTTCAGGTTACAGAAAGAATGGGTGTAGGTGCATGTATTATACTTAGATGCAATATGGAGCGGTAATAGCTATGTGGTAAACTGAACCTTTTGCACATCTTTGTGCATCTCACCTACCATTTCAGTACTGTCAACACAAAGCCTGGAAAATCAGAAGTCAAACACCTTAAATTATAAGGGTGGCTCAGTGAAATTAAAACAGGCAATCAATGCGGAGTTCTTTTATATTTTCCATCCGTTTTGAGTCTTTGAGGTACATGCAGGTCATACTTTTAAGACTGTCTATATGACCAAGAGGGTTAAACATATAGCTTAAAAAAGAGGAAGATAAGATTCCATGTAGTTAAATGGCTTTAGGAGCCTATACTTTAAGAAAAATGCTTGATAGTGCATGAGCCACAAGAAGATGTCAAATGTTGCCAATAGTGGTTTTTTTATTTTATTGTCTTGCTGTAACTATTTTAATAACTCAAATCTCTAAGAATTGAAAAGGTGACAGGACATTGCTACCCCAGGACCCCAGCAAACAAATCCTGGTGACAGTAGGAAAGAGATGATTGGGGTAGTTTGCAGAAGGCTGGTCAGCACTACATTTGAAAGGAGGTTGGTAAAAATACATATGTAAAGATTTTTATCACTGTAAAGTTGGTTGGCAGTCCCTCCACTTCAACTTAGATTTTGGAGCTCAAGGTAGACTGAAATTTTAAGAAGAGTTAAAGACAATCTTAATTGTCCCAGTTAAATCCAAGAAAATGAGGGCTTTGTTTCTGCACTGCACACCAAGTTCCCCCCAGTACCAGAGGGACCTAAAACTTTGCTCAAAAATGCTTGAAAAACCTTCCAAGAACCCAGCCAAAGTCAAGGGTGTAGAGGTTAGATAAAGAATAGCTGTTCTGAGAACAGTCACAGTTGGTGTGATTACTGTCAGACTTCTCTCATTTACAAGTGTTTTTATGAAACAGAAGAGTCGCACATGTACTGGAACACAGAGTTAGGGACTGGTTATTTTCTTTCAAGTTGTTTCAAGGCATCTGAGGCCAACTAGAAAGACAATGTGCACAAACCAGTTACCGTTGTGATAGTTCTGATCTCATCCAAATCAATACCACATGAAAGAACTAAAGGGGTTTTTTTCCCTGTAAAGGCCTTTCCCATAAAACGTGACATCTGTTTTCTTTAGAGAAGTCTGAGAATCTCAAACTTAAATAAATAATAAAGCAGCTGCACTCAGTGCCCTCACTTGTGCTTTCAAGTATCCGTCCTTGTACCAGGGAGATGCACTAAAGGAACGACCCTAAGAGACAACTCCCTCTATTTAAAAAAAAACCAGTCCTCATCCTATATAATTTCCAGCAGCATTACTACTCAGCTGATCAG